ACAAAACGTTTACAACGTGATTCAAGGAGGAAGAGAGATGCGAGCTGTATGAATAAAATAAAGTCGAGGCCTCCTCCAGAGATGTAAACTAACGTTGAATAATCCTATAACGGAGACTGCGGAGGCGATGTATAATCAATGAGAGACGGTCTAGATCTCGCCACGGAACAATGCTGGAAGCCCCGTGCGAAAGAAGAAATGCTTACGGGAATATCATTTTTCCCCGCCATCTTCACCGATCTTTGCGTAACGTTCGTTCGAATCGAACAACTCCGGTTTAAGATTGATTATTTCTTTTTTTTTATTATTAGAAACTGAATAATACAAATGATAATAACAAACCCAGAATTAGTTAACAAATTAATTTACATTTTTCGCTTGAGATTCTCTCTCTCTATCCATTCTCTCTCTTGCCTCGATCGACAAGAGGTGGAAGCTCGAGCTCGAGGTTAAATACGAAGAGGGTTAAATACGATGGGCCTTGTGAAAAGATTTTATTAGGAGTCACGTGTAATAACAATGTTCAAGAACAAAGTGTGGTTGAATTTAACGGCCGGATCGGTTAAGCAGGAAAGTAGAGAGATCATATTCGCTTCTCGATCTCATCGTTTTCGAGATAATTCTGCGCGATGACCGAGCAATATCGATAGCGTATCGATAGCTCGAGATGGAGGGTTCACAGCCGCTTAATATTCCGCGCGTGGTGAATCGAAGATGATCCGAGAAGACCTGTTCCCCCTCGCGATTTCAATCTGCAGCCGCGTTCCAATTTCGCGTCAATTAAATCGGCGGGCCTCGTATCACGGACTGGTATCAATTTTCGCCCCAGCTAAAACCGACAAAACCGCTGTCAAATTCGCATCGCTCGACTCGATTAAATTCCTCGCGTGCTCCCCTCCCCCCCCCCCCTCTCCACTCCTCGCCTCGTTCGCGTTAGCAACGCCGCATTAATCTTTCTTTACGACGACGTGCACCGCGTACGTACGATGATTTGATAAATTTGATAAACTGGAAAAAAGTGGAAAATGAGCGGAGAGATTGAAGAATGTGTTTTTCCAAGTTTGAAATTATTGAAAAATACCATCAATCTCGATGCAACGATTGAAAGTATCAGCATTTTCTTTTGCTTTACACGTTTAAAGTTTTTTTACTTCTGATATTCAAATAGGTTCGATTGATTTAAAAATTGGTATAAACAATTTTGACATATGTACATATTACATACTACAAAAATTTATTTAACTATTGGTAAATAGTTTCTATAATATAACAATTGCAAATATTAGCATATTTTCTTTAGCTATATATCTAAACTTTTACTTTTGATATTCAAATATTTAATTTAATCAGATTTAAAGCAGATGTAGACAGTTTCGATTGAATTATGTATGTTACAAATTTATTTAATCATTGATAAGCAATGTAACAACTGGAAATATTTTCTTCGCTGCAATATGTAATCTAAACTTTTACTTTTAATATTCGAATTACGTTTAATTGAAATGAAAATAGGTACAGACAATTTTGATATATATATATATAACATATCACAAATTTATTTAACTAAGAAGAAAACTTGACGAGTCATCGAAAGAGCACTTACTTTCTCTCTTGCCCTCTTTCCGAAAGAAAGGCTCGTTCGAAAAATGAACCGAGGAATTGTTCTTTCTTCTCGTTCCCTCGTCCAATATAATCCCTTCTGTTCCTGTTCGTGGAAGAGGGACAGAGGTCTCCTCGCTCCCCTTTTACCCTGGTTTGGTCCTGCACGAAATAACTGGACGTCGAGACGAATGGCGAAATTATGCCGCTACATTCGGCCCTGTTCGATGCAAAAAGCGAAGAAACTTGGCAGACTAGATCCTCTCGCGGCAGAGATGTCGCCTTCTTCTTCGAACTCTTTCCCTCTCTCCTTTTCGTCGTCCGCATAAAATGGACCAGAACGAGAGGGGGAGGAGGTGGCACACACGAGTCTCAAATGATAACGAGGTGCAGGTTTCGATCGTGACAAACTGCGATCGATTCGTCCATTCGGATCTGGTCCCATTAGCTGGATCGCTCCGCCTTTTTACATTTATCGTGCGCGCGAGCGGACCCTTTCTTGCCCCCCGGTTTTGCGAGCATGCTCGCGCGTTGTTCCGCACCGAAATGACTTCATTTTGCAACGTTATCGTGTACACGCACGGTGCCAACGACGAAATTGGTCTCATTGAAGAAGAAATTGGAGCTGGCTGAGTTACGATCATCTCTCGAAACGATCATCTCTCGTGGACCATATCCTTGGTGCTCGAATTCTCGCTCTCTGATGGATATTCATTTCACGAGTTGATTGTTGATTTTTAGTAACGAGTATAGAAGAAAGGATTATTCTTTGAAAAGGATCGAGTTTATTTTTAGTTTATGTCGATCGGCGTCGAGTGTCTCATGGCGTGATGCTTCTGGTAGACCAAGACACGTTCGGTGTTGGTGGTAGAAGCGTTCCAACACTGAGGACTTAATTGCCAGTAGAATCTTAATGCTCATCGCGTGCCTAATTAATTAGCCGATTGAAAAATAGTCGATCGTGTAAAAAAGGAATCGTGATCGGATCGTGGATGCCTCCTCGCTCCTCGTTGATATTTCTCATCTTCTTCCCTTTCTTTCTTTCTTTCTTTCTTTCATCGGCAGCAGCAGGAGGAGGAGGGATGGACGTATCGTGAAAAATTATTACGGAATAAAATGAACGCGCGAATTGAATCGAATGATAAAAAAAAAAAAAAAAAAAGTGAAAAGAACGATCGAATATATCCTGCATTTGCATATATTGTTTCGAGCGCAAAATAACTTTCGCATTCTTTTTTAAATGGACGCTGGTGTCAAACATCAGATAAAATCGGGCGGGAAAAAAAATATGGCCGTGTTTTCGATTTTATATTTCGCTGTAAATTTCTGAATTTGTACGAGGACGAAGGGAACAAATAGAGACTCCGATACTTTTCTTCTTCTTCTTTCGTAAATTCTTCTAAATTCTTCTTTTCTCTTTTATTTTTTTTTTTTTTTTCTTCTCTTTTTTCATTTCCATCGTGAACCACGGGGAAGCACGCGTCGGGCGCCGAAAAACACCTCCGACTGGTTCCCCGACTGGATCACTTCTGACATATTCTCCTCGAGTTCGACTTCGGTCGAGGCCCACGCTCGAGGAACTTCCTCCTGTCGTAGCTGTGGCATCCGATATGAATCATATAACGAAGACGCATAAACATCAAGCCGTGTAAACCCCCTCCCCCTGCGCTCGACCGGCCAGGGATCGAACTGCTCGTTCCCCGGGGACACGGCTTTTATACGTGTCCCTTTCGATACCTGGCGAGTCGTTGGACAACGGTCGAAGACAATGGTAGAAACTCGTAACGGAAACACCCACCGCGATATGAAAATGCGTTTTTTCGTTTCTCCTCTATCGTTCTCGAAATATCGTATCGAGCGCACAACTTACCTTTATGGTTACGGATTGCGAAACCGGATTGTTTCATAAGGTTTAGCCTTCGTATTTAAATATTCCAACGAAGTGAACATACCTTTCGAGTCTACGATACGCCGATTTATTTATTTAATTCCCAACATCCGGCATTACATACTCGGTCCGCTGTTCTTCCATGAAGTGTTAGACTTGGAAATTGCCGATTTTTCATCGATACGACGATAAATCGTTATTAGGTTAAAAAAAGGAAAAAGAAAGTTGAATTTTTCCCCTGCAATTCTTCGAGAAAAATGGCAATTTCGAATGTAATAAAAGTGAAACGAATTTCGCATTCCCGGTCGGATCGTTCATCCGTGGATGAATCGCGGGTAATCTACGTGCTCTCGGAGATCGGAGACTCTCGAATGTATCGAATGTATCGAAAATCATTGAAGTTTATCCATGTGGAATAATGGATTAGACGAGGAAGATTTGCAACATGAGGGGTGGAAGGGTGAGGAAGCTCGAGGGGAATTGGGAATATTTCGTACGGATAGGGGGATCGTCGTCCCTACATCCCTTTGAGAACCCCCATCGTCCGGCCTACAGGATGCCCGCGGACCATTCCGTTCGCACAATGCGTGTAAACAAGTGAAAATTAAATTTTAAAATTGGCCATCTTCCTGTCGCCGGAGATGCGTATTAAGCGGGCCGGTCAACAAGATTTAATCGGAATTTTTGTGCCTCCGACACGCTCCTGCCTCCGGCCTATTTATTCGAACCGGCGCATAAATATTCATACGAGCGGATTAAGCCTGATTTTTAAGGTGTCGTGTCGTTTAAATTTATATAAATTTAAGGATGAAAGTAATTTTTTTTCGCTCGATCAAAAGCAAAACGGGTAAACAATAAAAGAAATTATTAGTAAATGGATTATTTGCGCATTGAATAATTGATTTTAATAACAATTGAAATAAAGTAAATATGTGCGTAAAAAAAAAAAAAATAACGGTAAGTGAAATTATAAAAATAAGAGTTTATTATATTCTGGGTTTATTTAGCTTGATGAAAAAAGTGCGAGCAAATCTTTCAGCATTCTCAGGTCTCTCAACAGGATTGTGTCCGTACGTAAAAAATCGCACACACAATTAGCACGTTGTGACAAAAAACGCGAAGAAGCTGTACAAATTTCGTGTCCGTGCATATACATGCAAAGAATATCGTGTAACTATCGAATTAGCAAAATTCTTGCATACTATTGACGATGGTGGAGGGACAGGGGCAGAGACCTGAGATGCACGCAATGATTCCGCATCGTTTCTACGACCTAGGGACCTAGGTGGTAGCTAAAACGAAAAGATCTTATGAAGCTGCCGTGCGCGAAAGTGGGATAACGCGAAGCGTAGTCGAAGACTAACGAAGGGTGACGGAACGAGCCGAGGGGTCTTGGTTAACAAGCGTGAGCGAAAGAAAGAGAGACGGAGTTAGGCTACCGAATGAACGGAGAAGGAAAATGGAGTCACGACGTCCCAACGGGGGGGAATCGGCAGTGACGCTAGCAGAGAGGGTCACTGGTGACGGTGGCGCCCTCTGAACGGCCCAGACTCGAAAGTAAGGTTAGTCTGTCGCTAGCCGTTTGAGGACGATACACGTTTTACGCGTATCTCTGTCGAATTCACCCCTTCAGTCGACCAACGACTGTGTAAAATACGCGCGAAACAGGTGGCTACGCGACGTGACACTCTACCATGTTTCGATAGTGTTTCGTAAGTGACTGTAGTTTACGTATCGCGACGTATCATTTTATCGGTTTTCGTGAAATTTTCAAAGTGGCGCGCTCTCTGCTCCAACAACCGACCGGCAAGTATTGCGTAGCGTGTTTCGATACTCTACGAATTTTGACTATCGTATACGATGCTAGAATAATCAATGCTTTGTGGGAAAAGTTACACGAAGGGCTACGATTTTGTGAAAGAGTGTATAAGAAGTAATAATTGGAAAAAAATGTGTGCAAAAATGAGTAACTTGACAGAAGTTCGATGATGAGACAAATGAGATTTGGCAACGCTTCGTATCCCTCTGGTCAACCGTCATGGGCAGTTCGTCGGCGATCCGACGTAACACAGGATAGAGGCAATTTGAACGAATTTAAGAGAGTTTAAAGCACTCGCGACGCACTGTCACGCGAAACGGATCATCATTGGGACGATAGTGCACGGATTCTATGTGGTGATTCTTCGATCGAAGTGAAACGCGCCACGACGACGAAAAGCGACGCGAACGAGCGTGAGAAAACAGCGGCCACGTTTCTCTCTGGGACGAGAAACGGCAGAGATATACAACACACTCACAAGCGGACTCGTTCGACCATCATGCTATCTGTCTCGTTCTCTCCTTCCTTTGACTGTTCCGTGAACAGAAGAATTTGTTTTTTTTTTTCCTTTAAACATTGACGTATAGTTTATTTTGTTGTACACTTCATATAGTTTATTTGACTATCTACTCTTCGTGAGAATAACCCGTGAAAAATATACATCAGTGACATCGATATTACCAAGTGAAATTTTCGACGACTTTCGATCTGGTCGTTCGGACAATTACGTGCAATCGTGTGGAACGCTACGCGCCGACGGCTCGCCCAATTTTCTATTCTTTTATTTTAATTTACTTTGCTGTTGAATTTTTGACGTCTTCTTTTTTGGCGTACGATAAAAAAATTTTAGAAAAAGAAATTCGAGGAAAGAGTTAAAAAAGCTTGAAAAAGAAAGTAGTATCGAAAATGTTCAATGTATCGCGAGAGAGAAAATATCATATGCCTGTGACAGAATCGATTCAGCGATAAATATCGATACCGGCTGTGTACCGAGAAGCAGTATCCGTGCTGAAGCCGCCATTTTTTCCCCTTATATACGCTTTTTCCTAGAGAAACTGTTCAATTGGATATTTATTACTCGACGACTTTTTAGTTTGTGATAGAAAACTAGTGCAATCGACGGCTTGTGTTGAACTTGTGAATTTCGTATAATTGCGCATATATCGTGTGAGCGTCAGTGTATAAGGTGTACGTGGATGTGTTTATTTTGATACAGTGCTCTGTAAATTGATAGAAAAAAGCAGTTTTGACGATGGTGATTCTTAGAAATGGAGTAAATACTCGGCGTATCTTCGTCAAAATATGAGGAGAGTATCCTTCTGCGTCTCGAGGGAATCGATTTCGTGCAAAAATGTATCTCACGCGTGTATTCTTGATACTTTTGCTGGCTGCCAGTTCGAGGTGCGTTCTTTTCGTTAAAATTTTCTAAAATCATTTTATCGCACGATCTTTGAACAACGCGAATACAGTTATATAACAATTTCTCGATCACTGTTAAATAATGAAGCTTGCTAGATACTGTTGTTAATCTTTTAGGAGCAAGTCAAGATTTTAATTCGCTTGTTCATAGGTCAATCGTATATTTATAATCTTATTTTATGATCTTAACGCCATATTGATTTTCTTGTCTTTATATATATATATAATATATTTAATTTCTTTCTATTATTCGTTTTATAATATACATATATATATGAAATTGAAATGAATAATTTTTTTTGATACGTATCTTTGATCGTTTGATGATTACAATAAATCTGATAGTAAATTGAAGATAAAAAATGTTATTAATATGTTATCAGTGCGGAATATCTAAGGAAATAAATCTCATCGAAAGTATAGTATTTCATCAATGATATAGAATAATCAAAGATATTAAATTCCATCATATTATTAGGATAAATGAATCTCAAATTCTTGAAGCGTATAAATACGAATTTAATAATTAAATCACAAAAAGTAATAGTATGTCGAAATTAACTTTTGTTGTAATATATGCGGTAATAAAATAACGATTCTGAAAAGATTATTTTCAATTCAAATTTCAAACGTGTTATAAATATACATTTTGCAACAGATTAGAATTTTTTTATTACGATTCAAACAGCATCTTGAATATTAATATTCGTGTAGTTCACACATTTTTGCTAATAGACGTGTATAAATATGCGCGTAAAAAGCATCATGTCGGACGTAAAAAGTTGGCGCTACGGCAGAACCGGTATTATAAATATTGATTGTTCCAATAGTTAACGCGGTTCGTTGGTCTCGTGTTGCCTCGATGAGAGTCAATGAATGGGAGAACTGTGAGAAATCGATCGAAATGATTCGTGTTTCCATTGTACGCTCGTTCGAATTGATATTCTTGCGGTTTTAAAAACGTTCTTAACACAGGTTTTATTTCACAAAGGAGGATTCATTTTTAATTTCATATCGAAAAAGTATAAATAATTGAAGAAACAATGATGGTAAGATTTTTAAATTATAATATCAATATCGTACGCAATCGGCAATATTCTACGTGTCTTACGAAATCTTTCGGCATCATAGCGAGTTTAACATTATTCGCTTATACTTTTCTCCACGATCTAAAGAAGCCGGTTGCTCCTTTCTCTCTCTCTCCCTCTCTTTCTCTCTTTTTCTTTCTATCCATGATACAGGTTATAATTAACGATGGAAGACTCGATCGCACAGGCATTAAATAATAATTTATCGACTTCGTCGATCGTAGTTTTATCAGAGCGTCGAATCGATCGGCATTATATTATTCACACATTCGCAAGATTTTCAACGACTCGTTCCATTTACAGATGCATGTGCACGAGCGGATACACTGGCCAAAATTGCGAGAACGAGTATATTCCCTGCAACCCATCGCCGTGTAAAAATGGCGGCACGTGTCACCAGACCGACGATTTGGATTACGAGTGCATCTGTCCCGAGGGTGAGTTTTGAAATTGTTTCTCGGTTTCAATTATTTATGGTCCCGGTGATTCTCGCGTGTGGAGGGGTGTCGATGATTCAGCTTATATACCCGAATTCTGTAAAATGCCTCCCTTGCGAATAATTGCATCGTTACAAAATATCTTTTAAATTTAACAATTACTCCTTAAAACTTGAACAATTACTCCTCAAAATTATCGACACTTTTTATTTCTCGAGACAAACATCGCACTATAAAAAGTCCGTACCAAATGGTTTGAAATATGATATCTTTTTCAACGTTTTTTAATTACTTCATAAAGCAAAAGGAAATATCGTAACAGCGATTTCTTACAATAGATATATATATATATATAACGATACACGATCCTTCTCGAATCAGAATTTTTATCGAACTTTAAATCAAAATCTCCGCGAACGATCATTTCTTTTTTAACTTATAATAACGCGGAAGTGCCCTTTAATTTCCACCAAGTTCCCACAATACATGGGAAATTATCCTCCCCTCCCCCCTCCGTACAAACTTTTCCTCGTTTATCTACGAAACTAATCTCATCTAAACTACTACCTTACATCTAATAATCAAAAACCAAGAGAGAGAGAAAAAAAAGCTCGACACCTCGCTTAAACTCCTCGCGTCGTCCTCACTTTCCCATAACAACGTTCTTACGACAAATTCCCCTTCGTTTCCTCCCCCCAACCTCCCCCGCGATCCGTTTTTTCGGTGTCATTCTCACGAATTGAAAAGATCGACACCGACTTCTCCTTGAACTGGTTCTCGCGAAGAATCTCGTGGAATGCCGTTGTGGGAAGGGAAGGAAGGAGGGAACCCCTCTCTTAGCGGGATTACTTTTCGCCATTTCGGCGGACGAAATGCGCGCGATGCTACCCTACCCCTTCTCCTTTTCGAAGAAGCCGCGTTCCACGTTCCACTCTGTTTACGATGACAAGAAAGTCTTGTCTCGGTTGGCCCCGTTGCGCAACCTTGTCCCAGGAATGGCGGGGCAGATGGGTGGAAAGAGAAAGAAAAGAAAGGAAGGAAGGGAGAAGAGGGCGTCCGCGGGGCAATGATTAGCCGGTGCAACAGGTACGACTTGAGGAACGGGGTGGTGATGGTGGTGGTGGTGGTGGTGGCCATTTGTAGCGTGCACGGTAGATGGTTAATGTAAAGGCTAGGGTCAGCCTAGCGTGGCCTTCTCGACGGCCGGATCACAATGCGTGGTCCTGTCGTTCCCAGGCGGACCACAACCATGGCGACCCCACCTTTCCACCGTCGTCCCTCCTTCGTCTTTCACGCCGCTTTGCCTTCGCTCGCGCGCGCCTTTTCCCGTTAAACAACCCGCCTGTTCCACCTTCGTGATTATCCTCTCACCGATCGGTTTACGTCGCTACCGTTTCATTCCCTCCGGCGAATCGAAAATTTTCCAGCCAATTCCTTATCCGCGTCTCTTCGAAATTTCCTCGCGTTCCAATCGCTCCGTTTTCCGTTGACGAGCGTAGATGGCGAGTAACGAGGAGGATCCATTTTCGTCGGTGAGAAGAGAGATTAAAGGGTAGTAGCGGACAAGAGTAGAAGCCAGAGAATGCTGCTCGTTCGCGCTCCTCGTGAATTTTACGGCCTATCATCGATACAAATTGCCACGTTGTGTCGCGGCCGCCATTTTGCCAAGCTGCCTATTTCCAAGCCGGTGCGTTAGACGAAGGAAGAAGAGATGCCCTCGTTCGTCGATTCCATTTCTCGTCTTCCTTCGAGCGATGCTTCTCGTTTAACGAGGTTTACACCGGCCGGTGGTCCGATCGTTTTATTTCCTCCTCGAGGCGACGACGATTCCTTTTTCGCCGATCGATTCTCGCCCTATTTCCGCTCTCTTCGTGGTGAAAATCGAAACTCGTGTCGCGTACGCCTAATCCAAGGGGATCGGGAGGAGACCTCGTCCAACTTGTTCCTTACAGAGACAAGGCAATAACTATCTCGGCGTTACGGAAAGCAAGAGTTTCGAGTTTCCTTCACCGGTTGTTCGATCATTCTCATTCTCTCTTATCCCACAACAATTATTATTGCTCGAAATTTACCGGTTTTATTCGATCGTAATTCCTTGGAAGAATTTCGTTACAAGCGTCCTTATCCCCTCCTAAGGGGAAGGAAATTGACCGTGAACCGTTTCGACTGTATTTACAACCGAGCTCGTACAACCATCCCGCCTAGACCGAACGCTCCTCAAATGATTTGCTCTCGCGTAGCACCTCTAATGGTTCAATTTGCAACACCGAGCTTACGTGCTGCTGCCCGTTCTCCATTCCTCTCTCTCTCTCTTTTTCGCGTAAATTGCCAGCGTCACTTTTCTCCAGGGATAAGGTCGTAACTATCCCCGAACTAGGCTGCAAACTCTCGAGAAACGTGTATATACATACACACACGTGTGTACACAGGCACTCGAGATTCCAGGCTGTTCTCCTCGATTCGGTAGGTCGCAATGGTTCAATTTGCACGAGCCTCGTCACCTCGCCTCTCCCCCTCCGGTCGTTTTCTTTCTCGAGGAGGAACACGCGTCGTCCCTTGGCCCATCCTCCCTTGGACGACCTCGACCGAGGGAGATTTCCCCGGTCGACGATCCGATCACGCCCCCTCCATTCTCTCCATTCCGCTAATTAGAAACTGGTCCGCATCGAGTTAAACGATCGAGCCGCACGCCCATAGATTAATCGGCGCAAGGTAGCCGATAGTCGAAACGGGAGAAGATGCTCGCCGTTTCTCGTGTTACCCCCCTCCGTGCCGGAGATGTTTCCATGCTTCCTCGATCTTGATACCGCCGGATTAAGTCGCTTTCCCCCTCCCACGATTTTACGGAATCGTGTAGGATGGATTGGAAACAAACACCCGATTCGACTCAATTTCCCCTTTATATTCTTCTATACTGCCAGCTCGAACGAGACGTCACTCGATCGATCGGGATCGATTCTAACCCTTTCGCTACGAACCACTTTCTACGCCGCGCCAAAAACGTGTGCTCGAGAAAGATGGCTGGTGTTTAGTGAAAAGGAATTGACGACAAAAACAAAATATTATTGCTACGTTTCCGGAGAAAGATAACTCGAATCGTCAATCACACGATATATAGAAAGGGTTAACGGGGCGATCGCGCGGAGGAGGAGGGTGGCTCGTGCGTGGTCGTGGCGGATCCGTGCACGCGTGTTCGTTGGCGGGCCGCTCGAGTGGCGAAACACGTCGAGGGGAAGAGCGTGGTTATAGCAGCGTTCCAGCTGATTTATGCCAACGCGCGGGCATAAAGTGCGTAGCCCGCGGCGGGGAAGCGAGCCGGGGGATGGAGGAGGAGCGGCGCAAGAGTTAGGGACACGCGTCGCTGTTACGCAACCACGATCTGTCGTCGTTTTTCTTTTTTCTCTCTCTTTTCGAACATTTTATTTTGATTTTTAATTATTTCTGCGTGTAAATTTTCTTTCGTTTATATATATTTATATTTTTCTATCCTTCGTGATTGATTTCGATGTAACGGCACCTTAGGATACGTGATCTTAATTTCATTATCCGCTACTACTTCCTTCCCGCCGTCGCGTTGAAATCAATTACACAGAAATTACACAGAGTTAAAACAGATACGAGTAACCGCGGGGAGATCGTTCGACTTATATTCGCGTGGTAACGAAGAATCTAATTGAAAGAAGTTAATCCATTGTCCATAAACTCAATCCAATCTCGTCTCCTCTCGCCGTATCCCCTCGTAAATCCTCGCGCGGAGGAATCTGAAACTCTATGAACGGGCGAAACGCGCACGAGCGAGACAGAAGCGAAACACAAGCGAGACACAAGCGTGGAAAGTAACGGAAAGGCAGGCAGGCGCGCACGGTTCAATAAACGTGGAGGGACGCGAAATATCCCTAGCAATCAACCGGCAACGGTACACGAGTTTTATCACCGACCAGTGCTATCCTCCTCGCCGGCTTACGCGGCCCATGTCGATAATTCGCGCGCCTTCTTTCCTCTCCTCACTGTTCCATTCACGCGAGAAAATCCCCCCGAGATTTATCGACACCTCCGCGTTACATTGTCCTCGTCCCGGCCGGCCGGTTTTAATTAAAACCTCGCCATCTCCCGGCCTCGTCTCGTCTCGGAATAATTAATGGCCGGGGCCATTTGGGGCCGCGAAGGAAGCGCGTACCACGACGCGTAACAAGTGTCCTCTCAACTCTGTGACACGTGGGTGGCCGTGGATCGAGCCGGTTGTCGGCGCGTGATCTATTCTTTTACCGTCGAACAAGGAGCTCGTTGCTTCTCTCTCTCTCTCTCTCATCGATACGAACCGATCGAGTCTCGTTCATTTCGTGGATGGAATTGGAAATTTCGCACAGTCGAGGATACCACTCGGTACGCGTTAATGAACGTGTTCACGGTACGTTTCCGTCTAATCGTTTTCCAACGATTGTCTTCCGTTTGATGTCTTTTTCATCTCTGACGTTAATACGGCATTATCGCGGAATTAAACGAACCTTGTGACGAATGCTTTAATACGAGAATCGCCGGTGATTTTAATGTTATTTCCGTATGGCTGGATATATATATATATATAGCGACGAAAGGTGTGAAGTTGGATTACAACGTTGTTAGTAGCGGTTTTCCAATAAACGACTACCGTTATGAAATCGAATAATCGGGAATAATTGTAAATCTTTCTCTCGCAAGAAACGGAGGAAAAATATTCTCGATCTCTCTGTTTTCGCTCTCTCGCGCGCGATATATATTTAGAAAGAAAAAATAAAGTTCTTCCGAGGGAAATCGTGGACGACAAATTCGATTCCAGCGCGGATCTCAACGATGGATCAAGTTTATACGGGGCGATATGTGGGGGCAAAGGGCCTAGGCGGAGGGGATCGCCTCGAAATTTGATACGAGAAAATAGTTCTATTACGTTCACAAAGTCCGGAGGAGGACTCGGATAACCGGACACCGGGAGCTCTAGCTTGCCTAGTTCTCTGCCTCGGACT